CCAAAATAATATTGTATATATTACCAAAATAATAATAATAAAATAAAATAAATGGTCCAAAGGTCAGAGAATTAAATTTTTACCACATATTGATTGATTGATTGATTGATTGATCATTAACATCCTAGACAAAATGCAAATAAATTAATACGTAAATAAATAAATATTTTTACAAAATGGTCAAAAGCTCAGGGAATAAAATTTGACCACAATTATAACATATTTACTTATTTATTTATCATTAAGATCCTTGGAAAAACAAGAAAATATTTATTTATTTATTTTATTTGAATTTATAATTAAGGTCCTAGAAAAAATACAAAAAAAATGTATTGTATATTATATTACATATATTATGATGTATTTTGACTGGATCATTTTGATGTATGTATTTGTTAAATTTGTGAATGAATAGGGTGAGAGGGGCCTTCCTGGTCACACCGGCCCTTCAGGAAAGAGAGGTTTTAAAGGAGGAATGGGCCTTCCTGGATCTCAGGGAGACCGGGGTCCTAAAGGCCAACCTGTGAGTGCTACTCCCAGACAAAAATACACTGAAACATGCCATAAATATTGTTATTATTCACTGTGAATTCTCCTACTGACTGTATCCTGCTTACAAAGACCCAGAGTTCATCTTAGAACAAAACATTAATAGTAATCTTTGATTTAGGGTGACATCGGGGAACCCGGCTTTCCAGGGATGCTGGGAATGTTTGGACCGAAGGTGAGTTTTATCACCCATTGCCAGGTATCCCATTTAAACTGTTCTTCAGGGTGAAAAACAGAAATGTGATCGTCCATGTGCGCCTGACCAAGAGAAACAAACAGAGATGAAATTTATCCTTTCCGAAAGAGTTCTTTCCTCTGGGAAGCGTGTTTTCATCCACACGCTCAAAAAGCATCATAATTTACGCTCAGACTGATGTGTGTTTTTGTCACGGAGCAGGATTTTCTCTGAAACCCACAGCTGTGAGCTCATAAAACAGGACAAGCGTGTGTGGTTGATTCATTCAGACTCATTCATTCCTCTGGTCTAACTCGATGAAGTAGAGCTATGGAAAAAATGAAGACCACCAATGGTAGCCACACAAACACTGTGGTCCTGACGGTGATAAATAGACACGTTTAATAATGTTCCACTCCATAAACGCTCTAGTGCTCCTCATAATACACACACATTAGCATTAATGTTGGGTTAGGCACAGCTGTGTGTTTGTGTGTTTGTTCATGTGAGCTTGATGTTTGCTTGTTTATTCAGGGGCCTCCAGGAGACTTTGGACTGAAGGGTATTCAGGGGCCCAAAGGGCCGCAGGGCAGCATGGTGAGCACACACACATGCACACTCTCTCTCTCACACACGCACACACACGCACACTCTCTCTCTCTCTCTCTCACACACACACACACACACACACACACACATACACATATGCACACTCTCTCTCTCACACACACATATGCACGCTCTCTCACACACACACATATGCACACTCTCTCTCACACACACACATGCACACTCTCTCTCTCACACACGCACACACACGCACACTCTCTCTCTCTCTCTCTCACACACACACACACACACACACACACACATACACATATGCACACTCTCTCTCTCACACACACATATGCACGCTCTCTCACACACACACATATGCACACTCTCTCTCACACACACACATGCACACTCTCTCTCTCACACACGCACACACACGCACACTCTCTCTCTCTCTCTCTCACACACACACACACACACGTCTGGTTTGCTATCCTTGTAAAGACTCTCCATAGGCATAATGGTTTTTATACTGTACAAACCGTATATTCTATCGCCCTACACCAACTATCTATCTATCTATCTATCTATCATACATAAATAAGTATGTACAAAGAACTAGTCTGCCAATTTTGGCAGATTTTATAGTGTTTTTGTTGTAATATTTCCATGTTGGTTTCAGGGTAGAGGGGGTTTAGCTGGACCTGTCGGTGTAATTGGCCCTATCGGTAGTCTAGTGAGTATAAGTGACTTCTTCACACAGCTATAGTGAACAGTGAGTGTGTTCATACCTGCTGTCTGACCCTCAGCTGACCTCTGCTCTCACACTGACGTCTCTGTAGGGCCCGAGAGGAGACACTGGCAGCAAAGGAGAGATGGTGAGACATGATTTATTCTTTCTCTTCAGATCTTGATGTTGCAGGAAATCTTACAGGTTTCTCATAAACACATTCTTTTTTTCACACAGGGTGTTCAGGGACCTCGAGTGAGTCTACAGTCACAGACACAGCATTTCCCATCATCAGCTGCTTGGGTTTATTTTAAGGCCACTTGTTTGTTTCTAACTTGTTTATTTGTGTGTTTTTCCAGGGTGCTCCTGGACCGCGTGGACGTCCTGGACCTCCGGTATAAACACACACTTCTTTCTTTTAATAGACTCTCTCAGAAACACACATATTGTTCCTAAACCATACTAACCCCACACACACATACACACGTATCTCTACTTTGTTTAAAAACATGTCAGTAGAATTCATCATGATGGTTATGAGCAATTGTTTTATTATTTCTTTCTCTACAGGGTCCGCCGCGAATCCCACTGGCTTTGGTGAGAATTTTCACTAACTTTATTTATTTATGTAGTTGTTTATTTATTTATTTGTTGATTTTTTTATTTTTTTTTTATTCATTCATTCACACTTTCAGTGTTATATTCCGTACATCTGTTTTTTTTATAGTTTGCTCATGTGCATGTATGTTGTAGAAACAGGATTTTGGTCTTGGATTGGCCCAGCCAGTTTTTATGGAGACACACACACAGAAAATAGAGGTGAGATCATTCAGACACACGCTATGTATAAATAATGTTTTCGTACTAATGTTTTGGGAACATTAGTAAAGCCTAGATACATCTGAATGAACATTCTGTTAACATTACTAGAAGAAGGTTTGTTCACACCTTGTCCTGTGGTTAGCGGTGTAAAGGGTGTTTTAAAGGCTGTCTCAATGCTCTCTCAGGGTCGGGGTCTGATGGACATGCCCATGTTGGATCAGGCTCCAGAGATCCTGCGGACTCTCCATTACCTGAGCTCTCTGGTCCACAGCCTGAAGAACCCGCTGGGCACACAAGATCACCCCGCTCGACTCTGCAAAGACCTGCAAGGCTGCCGGGACACGCTCTACGATGGTGCGTGTGTGTTGAGTTTCTTTGTAGTGCTAAATCCCACCACTGGCATCTGTAGATAGATGTAATAATTTAGCATTTATCATTTTCAAATTTCACCGTTTCAAATTGCAAGTTATGTTTTTGCTACAATGTGTTTTGTCATTTGTCAGGCACTTATTGGATCGACCCAAACCTGGGCTGCTTCTCAGACTCTATAGAAGTGACGTGCAATTTCACCGGCGGCGGACGCACCTGCCTCAGGCCCATCACCACAGCCAAGGTTCAGCTTTCAGATCATCTGCATTATTTCGTATTTGATAAATGCATATCCTCGTGGCTTGAGGTGATATGTTTAGAAAATAAGTTCCTAATCTGTTTATAATCGTGCTGCTTCATTGGCTGGTTGCAGCTGGAGTTCAGTGTCGGACGCGTTCAGATGAACTTCCTGCAGCTGCTGAGCGCCGGAGCGGAGCAACGAATCACTATCCACTGCTTGAACGTGACAATCTGGAGCCACGCCCCCTCTGAGCCTCCGTCCCAGAATGCAGTTCGGTTCCAGGCGTGGACCGGAGAGACGCTGGAGCCGGATGTGTTAGGAGACAACTGCTGGGTGAGTATTACTTTCAAAAATCTCTCTCTAACTAACCAGACTTCAAAACACCCACAGCACCCTTTGCAACATGTGCAAGAAAAAATTTGAAATCTTGTCTCCAAAACATAACTTTTTCTGTCAAGGTGCACGTTAAATTGAGTCTGATTAGCATATCAGAGTTTTATTATTTATGTAAAATGCAGGATTTTGATATTCATGAATTATATATTTTTTATATTATGTATTTATTTCATTATTTTCTTTTTTTTATAAAATATTATAAAATAGTATTATTATTTATAAAATAATATTATAAATTTTTTTTTTTTTTTTTTATAAATTATTATTATTTTTTTTTGCCAAAGTATCGCAGAAAAGCATAATTAAAGAACAAATGCAAATGTACAGACTTGAACATATGGAACTAGGAACAAGGAATGAAAATCACAAATATAACAATAATAATTATATTAAAAAAATAAGACTGTTATGTTATAAATAATCATGAATAATCTGATCTTTTGATCTGCATCCAACAAGATCAAAAAAAAAAAAAAGACATTATACGAAGTTACTTTTATTTGCCTGATTATCCAAATATAAATAAATTATAAATTTAAATATATGTGTATTTTAATTTAAATGAATGTAAATAAATTTTAGTAATGCATTTTTAAAAACATGATTATTAGGTGCTTTCAGTAATTCTTTCCTCCATAAGAATGGCATTGTTAGCAGGAAACCTCTGCTTTTGAAAACAAAAAAAAGGTTTTGTTGCACACAATGTGACTTGCAGGCCATTTTTAGGGTTCTTGATAATAATAAATAATAATTAAATAATAATAAAAAATAACATAAAAAAATACATCTCAGCTAAATATATTGCTTGCATAATTTATTTTAACCAAATAAATTTAAAAAGGCCGCACAGGTTTAGTCCAGTATTACTTATATAATGTTATGGTATTTAATAATATTTTGAATGAGCTTTTATTTTTATATTTTTATAGTTTTCATTTTAAAAAGTCTTAGTAATTTTGTTATTGAATTTTGTTATATTTATTCTTTTTTTTTTTATATTTCTGTTTCACTTTAATTCATTTTTATTGTTATTTCAGTTGTAGTAATTTTAATACTTCAACATAAACATTCATTTCTGTTTGTTGCCAAGGCAACATTTTACATTTTTCATGTAATATTTATATTTTATTTTATTTCAGCCTTATTTCCATTAATGAGAACCATTTTCATGTAGTATTTATATTTTATTTTATTTCAGCTTTATTTCCATTAACAAGAACCATTTTTAATAGTTTTGGTTGTAGTTAACAATAACAACACTGGTTTAGTCATGAATTATTTCTGAAATGTATTTACGCATGACATCACTGATCATGTGCTTTGTATTACACAGCAACTAAACGGGCGCTGGCAACATGCTGACTTCCTGTTCCGGGTGTCGGACCCCGCCTTACTTCCTGTCGTACGCATAAGCAACCTACCAAAGACAACGGCCTCATCGCGCTTTCACGTAGAAGTCAGACCTGTGTGCTTCCTTTAGTGTGTGTGTGAGATTGTGAGTGTGTGTGCACTCGTCAAACACACACCGGCCCCGCCCACAGCCTGCCCCCTTCAGCATTCAGCCACTGCTTGGACTGCAGAAACAGAAAGAGGTGGTGTGGGCGGGGCTTTGGGGGATTTAGCACTAGAGACTCCTACAGTCTAAAGGAAATCCCGCCTTTACCAGCCACGGATGTCCAATCAGATTTGACTCCTCTAGAAACAAGCCAATCATCTCGCAGGGAGGAACACTCAGGACATCCGGGCCGGAGAAACTGCCACACCCTCTGTCTTTCCCTCTTCGCTTTCTCTCTCAGCCTGTTTCTTTGGTGCTTGCTTTCTTTCAAATGAATAATAATAATAATAAGTTATTATAATACTTGTACTTTTATAATAGGAATCAACAGTTTATTGAAGAGATGAATTAAGATCATTGGGAGGTATAATATGTACATATACACTTATTGTTTAACTGATCTTTTTTATGGTAATTTTGTCACATGTAAAAAAAAAAAAAAGAAATGCTAAAGTGCAATAGGAAAATGAAGAAAAAATATTTGATTATTGATTATATTATTAAGTGTGTCTCATTAAGGAAGGTTATTCAGGGGTGTTGTCATTCGAACGTGTCATTTTAACACTCCATCAGACAGGGAAGTGTGTGTGTGTTTGTGTAAATGAGTTTTGGAAGTGACTGTGAATGTGTGTGTGTTTATGTGACAGATCAGTAAACAGGTGAAGGTGCATGATTCTATCAAATGTACAGACACACCTGTGAATATCAACATACATGACCCTTGTTTTTAAAACAGCCTGTCACTTTAAGGGGGCGTGTCTCAATCAAATGGGTGTGTCTTGTTCAAAGGGGTGAATCCCTCATGAAAACAGGTCTGGGTCATATTTCACCCAAAAAGAGAAGGAAAGCACATTTTGAAGATTTGCATGGTGACATTTTTGTGACAAGCACATTTTCACTCCCCCAAAAAATGCATTTTGACATTTTTATAGTTACTTTTGTTTTGGATTTTTTTGCTATGAAGATTATTACAGTAATACAGAATTTTTTTTGAATTGCTAAAAAACATTACAGCGTAACAGTAATGAGTATTTCAGGCTAAAATGTGTTTAATTGTCATGAAAATGTCACAATGCAACAAGGCTTTCTTTTGACTATGCAAAATGTTTCTTTTAATTTCTTTTTCTTTTGTAATTGAACTTTTTTTTTTTTTTTGAAGAGAAAAATTAAAAAATTAAAAAAACTTTTTGACAAAGGCTTTTCTTATGGAAGCTTGTTTCCGAAAAAAAATCAATAAATAAAAATAATTGTGACTTTTAAAAAAAAAAGGTCCGAATTGGCAGGATATTAACTTGAAATTCTGAGTTAAAAAGTCAAAATTACAAGATGCGAACACAAAATTGCGAGAAAGTTAGAATTCTGAGTTTGTATCCCGCAATTTTTGTCGCAGAATAAAAATAAAAAAAGATATTGTAATTGCAACTTTTTATCTCAACATTCAGATACTTTTCTTGCAAACCTGAGGGGGGAAAAAAATCTAAGTTGCAATTAGCTTTTTCAAAAAAAAAAAAAAATTTACTTACTCTCAAGCACAAAATATCACTTTAGATTTTTGGGTAAAATATGACTTAGTCGTGTTCTTGACAGGCTTTTTGTGAGATTCCCCCGTTGCAGGTTTATCTCGGTAACAATGGTGCTAATTTGAAGCTGTTGTAAAGTCAATGCTTTTGTTTAGTGCCCGTGTTATTCTGAATTATGTTAGTGTGAATTTTGTGTACTTTAAAGGTGCTCTCAGAAATACAGGCCAAATCCAGATGTGCCGTTCAGTCTGAGCGTTTGCAGCACATCTGCGCAGACCTGCATGTTGAATGCACTGCGCGATAAGCTTGTGTGCTTTCCTCTGTGGTACAGAACAGTTTCGTACTTTCACCTCACTAGCACAAACATCAACTAATGCCTTTTGTAAGGGAGAACATTTCTGTAGCTAGAATTGTCATCAGAAAGTGCGTCGTCATTTGCAATTAATGGTCGTAAACTCGATACATATGATATATCGCGTTCCCTACAGCAAGGAAACAGCGGTGATGTTCTGTTCGAAGCTTTTTGTTCCTTTAGTCTTCATGACCGTGTGTATAATTCTGCAGGCTTTGATGTATACAGTCAGTGAGTCCCTTTTGCTAATTTAATGTTATTTAAATTTGACAAACGCGCTTTTAACCAAATTCTCTGTTGTGACAGAGTTTCTCTCCAGGTAACTTAATTATCCGTATGCCAACCGCTCTGACGGTTGATAGATTTATTTTGTGTGTAAATTTGGGGTTCCAGAGAACAATATATAGCTTTTTTCGATCTGTTTTTATTTTTCTATCCTGTTTATTTTTGTCTATAGTATTAATAATGATAATAATCTAAAGCCGTACTGTACCAGGACTGTGTTCTATATTATTTCTAAAGTTCTAAAACATGTGAACGTTCAGTGTCAGAAGGTTGGAATTCTGATTACCTCAATGCTCTGCCATTTGTGTTTGTGAAAATTCAAGGCTCGGTAATCTCACCGCTTCATCGTATTCCTCCGTTTTGCTCAGTGTTGTTCTTCGCGCCAGTTTTCCGTACTTGGTTAAATATGTGGATTCTCAATTGGAATTAATGCTTACATAACCCAATAAAGATGTTCTTACACCAAAATCTGCATTTGGTGTGGTTTTGTTCCCCAGGATCACACCGAGGGGGAAAAAAATTATAATTTCATGCCACATGTATTAATTTGTCTATTTATTAAAAACATGCAACATTACCAAAAAGGTTAAATACAAACCTTTATTTTGTATTTTAGACTTGATTTACAGTGATTGCTTGTTGAATTGTTTAATACAAATACTAACGAGACAGTCAGGCACTGACAAGATCTCTAAAACATACTAAAACTTCAACAAACCCAATGTGTTGCAACTGCAGCAATTTGAATTTAAAATGAGTTGCATTAAAAACATCTATGACCTGGTTCTACATCCAAATAGATGAGTGGTATTTAACCTGATGACGGTTTCACCCACTTTACTGGCACATATTAAGTGCTTACAAATACAGTACACTCACAGCTTATAAGCAAGCCCATTATATTTTCAAGTTTCTTGTTTTTATTATTTGAAGTATTATTTGGTAAGAATGTAGAATGTTCTAGGGTGAAAACACACGCACACACACACTGGCCTCAAACTATCACCTGATAAACTACTCTGTATTATCCTTCTTTCTATTTTTCAATAACAAACTTCAAGATTGACAGACAGTGTTGATCCGTACCTGCTCTGAATGATGTCAAATGTATTTGAATAGACTCACTCACGCTGTAGTTCTGCATATACGCACTTTATAAAAGAAAGTGTGCAAGAACTACAAAAGCCATGATGATAAATGGGGCGTGTCCTGAACTGGAGGGGGCGGAGCCATGGAGCTCTTGTCCACAGAGAGCGTGTTCCAACAGCAGGTGCGTCTCAGGTGTGATGCCTACAAGACACATTTCAATCAACCAATTACTGCACAGCTGACAATGTTATTAGGTAAAACTGGAAACATGTTAACTCATTGAATTAAAGCTGAAAAAGCATTTTATTACCTTTGCAACTAACTGAAATAAGTTTAACTACTAAAATTACTAAAACTAACTAAAATTACTAAATTTGCTGTGTGTGTGTGTATGTATATGTATGTATGTATGTATATATATATATATATATATATATATATATATACGTGTGTGTATATGTATGTAACATTAAAAAAAACATAAAATCACTAAAACAACTGAAAATTAAAGCTAATTCAAAATATTATTAATACTAGTATAAATAATATTAAAATACTGATAATTTATAACAGGGGTGTATGAGACCAGTATACAATTTTAACACAAATTAACATTGCATAACATCTAATGTTTTATTATTTTATGTTCATAGGCATCACATTACTGAAGTGAACAGGGCCGTTTCATGTCGTCTTTAGATCTCTTACACTGCAATTTTGAAACTCTGACATTGCAGGACATCCTAAATCTTCTCTGTCACAACTGTATCAACTTGATCACAGATATTTATTATTACATCAAATATTACATAACTTAATGAATTACAATTGCTTTAAAATATAATCTGCAACAGCAGAAACAGCATCAACTCAGTCTTAAAATAACATGCAGTAAATGATCATGTTTTTGAAAGAAGTCTCTTCTGCTCACCAAAGCTGCATTTATTCGAAAACGCAGTAAAAACTATTTTGTGAAATACAATTCTTTCCTTCAGAAATCATTCTAATATGCTGATTTGCTGTTCACCAAACATTTCTTCTTCTTATCGATGTTGAAAACAGTTGTGCTGCCTCATATTTTTGTGGAAACCGATTCATTTCAAGTTCAAAAGAACATCATTTATTTGAAATAGAAATCTTTTGTAACATTATAAATGTCTTTACTGTGATTTTTGCTCAATTTAATGCATGCACGTTTGTAAACCCCATTCCTCTGGGCTCTGTCGATCCATGATTCCCGCCCTTATATGGTCACAGGAAGTACACGTGCCATTATTGATGAGCAGTGTCCTGTTTCCATCGTTACACAATCAGTCGATATACAGAGCAGAGGGACATAAAGAGGGCCAAAACTCTTAAAAAAAAATAAAAAAAAAAGTGTTTTTTTTTTTTTTTGGAATTAAAAGCATTTAATAACACGAATGAGACTGAAACTCACTGTGTTGTGACCATTCCTCCCAGAGATGCTGAAGTTCCTCATCATGCTCACGAGTGTGATCTGGAGTAAAACACATCAAAAACAACTTTTTAATCACTCTGCACTTCCAAGAGGTTCAGAAGACTGTTAGAGTAATAAATGAAGCGTTAAGAGAGAAACACTCGAAAGGGTCCCGTACCGTCGCTGTGCTGGAACAGGAGCTGCCGCAGCTCTCGCAGGGCTCTCGTCAGGTTCTCCAGCTGCTCGTGGAGGTGGATGTTCTCCTCGATCAGAGCGTGGATGGTGTCCTGCAGCTCAAACGCTCGACAGCACACACTCAGCAGCAGCAGCACACAGACACACCGACAGCGCAGAGCCCGCGAGCGATGCATCCTGAACACACACACACACACACACACACACACACACACCTGGACGAAGAACCGCTCATGACATCAGAACCACATCTTCACAAAAAACACCCTCACAGCGGATCTTGTGCAGGCTGAGAGAGAGAGAGGGAGAGGGCTGTTCTCTGCTTTATCCTGATCAATTCAATCATTAAGTGAACTCATGAATCAGAGCGCGGTCACAGATTATACTGATGCAACTGGATGAAGTCCACAGCTGCACTGCAGTACCACAACTCACTCAGTAAAACCAGCAATAACCAGATACTGTGGCTTAAAGGAATAGTTTCACACACACACACACACATACAGTCTGGTTCACTATCCTTGTGGGGACTCCCCATAGGTGTAATGGTTTTTATACTGTACACACTGTATTTTTAGTATTCTACACATAAACCTACCCCTCACAGGAAACTTTGTGCACTTTTACAATCTCAACAACAAAAAAAATCATTCTGTATGATTTATAAGCTTCTGTACCCCTGGGGATCTCAATTTAGATCCCCACAGTGACAGAAGTCCCCATGAGTTGGTGTGTATTCAGGTTTAAGTCCCCACCAGTATAGAAAAACCTATACACACACACGGCTTAAAAGTGGTCCAAATAACTCGTCTTCTTAACTAAAACTATTACAAATTGTTTTTGGCAATAGCAATAAAAAGATATAAAATATAAATATTGGATGAAAAACAAACTGAAAATCTAGTTAGAAATGTTGCCTTGGCAACTAAATGAATTAACATTAGTTGAAGTAGAAAATTTTAAACTGAAACTAAATTTAAAAAAAAATTAAAGCCATATGGAAATATATATATTAAAAAAACAATAAAAATCATAAAATAAAATTAAAATGCAAATATTAAGACATTAATAGTACAATAGTATTACTAAAATATCGCTAATTGATAACAGAAAAAAAAAAAAGATATAAGCACATAAAAATTCAAACTATACTGAAAATCTAAGTATAAGAGCTAATTCAACAAATACATAATACTAAAATAAATACTTTGGTATATTCCAAATGAGATTTGAGAGCTGCAGCAGAGAAGATTTTCAGTGAATTACAATTAATGTCGCACATTTTAAGGACATACAGGTTTAGAATGACATTAGAGTGAGTAAATAAAGACAGCATGTTCTGTTCCGGGTTTCTGTTGATTAGCTTATAGACTTTAAGACCTCAGTGGATAAAACAAGGGCACCAGCAGGAAATCTACTTTACATTTAAATGTGGTTATGCAAGATACTTATATCTTCATGTTGGGAAAGGGAAAAAAAGTCACTCTGCAATGCATAGAGAAAAAAAACTGTTACATAAAGCATCATGTTCAATGGGCACAGTGGTTTAATGCTTTAGCTTGACTCAAGCATGCATTAAATGTTGATGTAATGGTGAAAAAACCTGATAATCCTTAAAACATTCATCTGCTTTTTGTCCAGCATTTAGATGCATAAAATGCATAACCAAGCAAATTTAAGACCATCCAAAATTGACAAAAAAAAAACAACAACAACAATGCATTGCGAGTAGACTGATACAAATGAGACCTGGAGATAGAGAAAGTTTGACCAAAAGCACTTTATTATTAAGTCAAACGTTTTACATGCAACTATTTATGAACTCTTGGGAGCCCTGGAGCGCTTCTTCTTCACCACCACAGGCTTCTGACTCCTCAGGATGGCGCTGACGCGTCTCAGAGCAGCCTGGAGGACAGAGACAGAGCAGTCATCTACTGAACAAGTGCATCAACTCCGTACTTGATTTTAAAGAACCTGCATGATTTCAAAACATACTGCGTCAACTTAAGAGCTTTTATGAATTACATATAAACACCAAACTTAAAGTTTAAAACTGTTTCCAAAATGTGTCCCATTACAAATGACTAAAGTAAACTGTAAAATGTGTTTCAGAAGAGGGTTGTGGACCATGTCAGATCTGCATGTGTGAACTCACCATGCGCAGATCCTTCCTGTATTTATTTTTGCGGATGATGTTCCTCACGCTGGCGAGGGTGGCGCGAGAGTTCTTGTTGATGGTGATCTTCTCGTATGAGGTGGCAGGTTTACACTGACCTGGAACACATGCAACCTTTTAACATTTAAAGAGCGCCAGCAGATGTTTAAAAACAGATTCAGAGCAGAGATGTCTAGATTAATGGCTGATTTCAGAAATAAATCACATTGCCTTATCCTCTGGCTTGAGACCTACATCATCTGATTGTAAATATGCAACCTTATAGCATCCTAAATATACGCAACCTAAATTCACTGAGCTTCGATGGTGTACACAAATTTGAACCCCTGAACCTCCAAGTGTCAATTTCATCCCCTCACCTGCACGTTTCTTCAGGATGACGACCACACCTTTGCCATCAGCGGCCGGCTCGATGCCCACAGTCTTGCGGTGAATGAGACCATTGAAGCGGAAAGCATTCCTGGACTTCAGGTTATTTGGCTCCTGGAAGAGGAAGAATATTTGAGATCAGAAAGCAATAAAAACACAAATTTTCAGTCAAATTAGCAATACAGAGGGATAACTACAGCAAAGTTCTTAACTAGATGATCGGAAATCTGTTCAGATAGGGTCACAAACAACAGTTAAAAATAAAATAAAAGTATAACAAAGTGAGACTATTTTTAACCAAGGTTATTTTAGTGAAAATTGGTGTCCCTTGGTACAAGTTAGTTAGTAAGCTAGCAAATCGTACTTTTTATGCATATTCAAAAGTGTCAGTTTTCCTCAGTATACTGGAACACAGCAGCTCATGAACAGCAACTTAAGCATCTGAGAGATAAACCCTGAAGCAGAAACTAGATTACAACCACATACGATTGGAAAAGAATTCTCTCGTTTTCTGAACTCTGCTTAATCTAAGCCTGCATCCATTCTCTTGAATCAGTATTTCTGCCTGCAACACCAGCTTATTGATGTGTGCATTAAATATAACCCAGTAAAGCCCCGTCTCATCACCAGTATCTTCAGTGTAGCTGAACGGCACTGACTTACGGTGCTGTAGGTCTGCTTGTTCCTCTTGATAAGGAAACTGGAGGTGTTCCTGATGACCATCCACTGCAGGTGAGGCGATGCCATGATGACCGTCCTGAACCCATGAAACAAGGCAACACATTTTATATACAGATCATACTCAATAACAGACAGTTCACATCAAACGCATATCCATAGCAAACTGCACCTTAATATATTAACGTTATATCCATAGCAAACTGCACCTTAATACATTAACGTTATATCCATAGCAAACTGCACCTTATTATATTATTTACAGAACAATTTATAATAAACTGTCAAATTTATTTTTCACTATTTTCCTACACGTTTTTGTTCTCGGTTATATTTTTGTTGAAATTGACGTTTTGCAAATTCAAAATAACCATGAATTTCATTAAATAGACACACATATACATATAACATACAGACAAATAAATAGAATTTGTGTACGTACTCCTGTCAAATCACCAACTCAAAGACCCTCATACAAAACCGGAGCTGTAAAATGACACAAAAACCTCCTTCGTTACATAAGTACTGCTCTAACTGTGAGTAAATCCAAACTTTATCGAACAGTCTAGACTGGTTTTCACCCTATCTAGCGTTAGCATTGTGGTGCTCGTCTCTCACTCACTGAAGGCCTCGCTAAGCAACACCGGCAGCGTTTATAATGAAATATCCTCCTTTTTATTGTCACTACACCGAGTGGTGTAACTCATAAGCAACTTATAACATATTCGACGCAGATATATACCCGTTTCATGCTGAAATGTGCGTTATAAAGCGTTTAATCGAACGTTGAAAAGCAACACTAGACGACCACGTTACCTTTTCAGCAGCGGAAAAGCGATGGAAAGGAATGAGTTCCAATTCCGGTGGAGCTTTCGTACTTTCTTACGCCTCTGTGTTGAGGATTAGTAACTTAGTCATATACCTTCTTTTTCAGACTGAGGGGAAAAAACGAAAATATGTTTAAGATGTCTTTTCAACTCGTCTTTAGAAATGTTTTTAGAAATCTTTCGTTAAATATATATTTTAAGCAGGACTATATGTTTGATGTGCAGTGCGGAGGGGGACGAACAGCGCAGCCGTCTGTGGTGCAGCTGGTGTACGTCACGCCCTCTGTGTGCTCTACGTCATGTTCATGCGTCCTCTAACCACAACAACAACCCAGCTCTGATGCCTGCTGTAAATACATTATTATGATTCCTATTCAACCTCATTGAGGACAGTTAGATCATATAAATGACGGCGGAGTATAGACAGATGATATTGTAATTCGTATGATTAAATAAGCAGTTAATGCTGCAGTGATGGAGAATGATGAAGATCTGGAGGCTCTGGGAGAGAAACTGTATGATCTGATATATCCTAAATACACTGAGATGACACCTAAACTTACAGGTGACAAAGAATCTATCTATCTATCTATCTATCTATCTAATATTGTGATGAGTTCAGCTGTGTAATGCTTGCAGGTATGTTGTTGGAGCTGCCGGTTTCTGTTGTATCTCAGATGTTGTATGATGAAGCTCTGCTGAATAAAGCACTGGAAAGAGCACTGACCGCTCTCACATCATCGGACAACAGGTATCACACTGATTTTTTATTTTTTTTTTTACAAAATTGAACATAAAATGCAAAGTACTGGACACAAATCTCAGAATAAAGCATGCAATGTAGTGACATCACAGGACAACAATGTAGGATACAACTACTTCAAATGTTTCTTGAAAAGAAATTTATTTTGGAGAAAAACAGTAATAGGCAGTACATAATATATCGTCTAATATAGTCGTATTCTCTTCCCAGTGACCCTGTGTCTCACACTGATGATGCGGTGTCTGTGTCCTCCGACTCTCTGGGTGAACAGCTGTTTGACCTCATTGACCTCTACAACACTGGACACACACAGAAAATAACAGGTACATTTACTGACACGCTGCAAAAACACCAAAGGAGGGAATTCAAAGTCTGTTGGAATAGTTACGTTACTTTGACAACTATACAGGCATGTTATTGGAGCAGAAGAAGGAGGCGGTGCTTCAGCTGCTATCGGATCATTCGCTCCTCGAGGAACGAGTCAAGATCGCCTTGAAAACCTTGCAGGAGTAGGTGCTTTTGGATTTTTTAACAGCGGTGTTGAAAAATCAGGATTAGGCATAAAATAATATCTTCTGAATCATTCCTACTTGTGAAAACGGGCTGAGAATTGAACAAAGAGTTGTAATCTGCTCAGATTCAGACAGGAGTCATGTCTGTGTGTCAGTTAAAAGATCATACAAGACTTCTTCATCTCACAAATGGTTGTCGAATGCAAAAATGCTACGAAATGCATCATAATTGAGCAATTTTGCTCAAGCTTCAGCAAAACAACCACTATTTTTGGAATCAACACCTCAAAATTAGTAAGAAACAACTATTGGATTTCATTCAGCAAATATTACACAGTGTATTTGGAAAGTTTCAAATGTGCAAGAAACTAACTGCTGTGTTTATCTGGGTGCTCAGGCAGGGTGACGAGGCGACAGATGTGAGTGACAGCTCTGATCGAGAGGAAGTGGAATCCATTGGCGAGACGCTTTTCAATATTGTGCGTCAGTTAGACCCCACCCACTGCGCTGACATCACTGGTGAGTTACTCAGTTCATTTGAATTCAGACTTCTTGAGATGGTTTTTGTACACACTGTGTGATATGATGGATGTGTGAACATTTGTGTATGTAGGGATGCTGCTGGAAATGGATTCTGGATCGCTGAAACAGATTCTGTCTGACCGGAGCATGTTGGAAGTCGCAGTTCAAAGAGCTAAAAGTGCACTGGTACATTAAACAAATAAACACACACTCCCATTGCTTTATTGTAATTTGTGTATATGCATTTGTGCATGCTCTTTAAGCTAGTATTCCCCACAACCACAACTTGTAGCTATAGAAGAGCAGTGAACTTTTACTTTTTGAATAGTGACCAAGTAACACTTTAAATAAATGTTTTTCTTTTTGTCCACAGGAGGGCGCTTTGAATCCAACACGTACAGAAATGTCAGAATGAGGCTTGGAATCTCTGCAGACCACGTGACTGCAAGGAACTTTGTACTTGGGAACTTTAGGCCTAGATTGCTGTATTTTTTTACTTGCATACAAGACATTGTTTACATGGACTTCCTTTTTAGGATTTTTGCCACTTTTTTTGATATGAAAAGTGGAGAGGAAATTCTAAAGAAAAAAAGGAGGGGATTGTGTCAGAATACATCACAGGCTGGATGCAAACCTCCTTCACCTGCATGAGCACCTCAGCTAAAGGCATCTAGAGCATGTGCATTAACCACTATGTCATGGCTTTTGACATTCCAGGGGCGTCCACACATTTTTACGAGCATGTTTACAATATTTTGATGATTTGTGCATGAATCCGCTATCATTTAAATTTTTCCATATTTAGTTTAGTTCAGAATAATATATTTGTCTGTAAATAATAAAATAATGAAAGGTTTGATGCTGTAGTTTTGTCTGAGATTCATGTAAATTCATAAAGTATTACATCGTGGAGATATTAAAGAAATGGTTTTAAAAACAATTTTAATTGCATTTTCAAAATTTAAATTGATCAAAATCCACAGTATGGACATTTGTTAAATAATATTTAAATTTCAAATAAATGTAGTTTTATTTTTCAAAAAGAATCACGGATTTTACAGAAAGTATGAAGCAGCACAGTTGTTTTCAACATTGATAATAAACAGAAATGTTTCTTGAGCAGCATATTGGAATGATTTCTGAAGGATTATGTGACAATGAAGACTGGAGGAATGATGCTGAAAATACAGCTTTGCATTACATGAATAAATTACATTCGAAAATATATGAATATAGAAAAGAGTTATTATAAATTGTAATATTATTTCACAGTATTACTGTTTCTCTGATCAAATCACCTTGGCTAGCATCTTACCGACCCCAAACTTTTGAACACGGTTAGTTTACATCCATCTACAACCAACTTTAAATACCATTTTGCTAATTCTTTTAAAAAATTATGCATGCAAATTTAATAACCTCGTATTAAAATTAAGACATACCATATCTGTACTTTAATAAAAACACTCTAAAGTATTAAAGAGCTCAAAAATATCTTTATTATCACTTTATCAAGAATTGTACAGTCAATTTCTAAACGCACTGGAAAAGTCTGAGCTTCCTTCAAATAGAGCAGACCTTCGGAATTATAAAACCCCGCTGTTACCATGGGAACAAGAACCCCGGAAAGAGCAAAGGAATAATGGCGTGTGATTAAGAGACACGAAGACGACCGATCAGAGAGCGAGATGAAGCCAGGAAAATAATAAATGATATTTTATGAGCATAACACACACAATGATCACAGGATTTTGGTAAATCATATAACTGTATGATTCTTCGCTACTGGCAAAATTAAGGATTCGATCAGGAGATGGAAAAAGAGATGAATTCGTTTAGCACGTCATGACTATGCGTACACAAACTCACTCTGATGTATGGATCCTGTCCGGCAACAGCATTTCGACTGTTTCATTCCGACAGGAAGCTTAATAAATATCTAAAACATTCTGGTATGCTGCACTGTTCCCATGACAACAGGCCAGACCGCCCTCTAACTCATGCATTGGCTGCCTTCCATCAGCAAGACACGCCCACATTTCCTCCCCACACACACAAGCACGCGCGCTCACATGCACTCGCATTCACCCTGCTGAAATGAGCAGACTACTAAAGGAAATCAAACTACACAGGGCTAAAAATTGACATATTGCACGTATATTCACACTGCTCACGTTGAGGAAGTGCCGCCCAGTCCGTACAAACACAGAACAAGAGGATAGAGTTAGACCGTAACGGGTACGATGAGTCTAGAAGGAGAAATGAAGAATGATCCGTTCACTCAGACTTCAGCACAGATGGGAAACCATGATTATGACAGCGACAATGTTATTTGGGAGGCTGAGGGCCGCATGCCAACGCTTCCAGGAGTCCAGGCAGGAACCAAACTTCAGTCCGATCTGGTCTAGAACCACAGTTTGATCTAGAACTACAGCGATACTGTTATTTCAGTGTGGGGTATCCTCTCTGTCCCAGACGACCAGGTCGAGCGCGGCTTGTGGGAACAGACTGAAAAAGACAGAGAAAGACATTTAGAAATGTCAGTTTCTAAGGCAAAACCACGTTTTTTTTTCATCCAGTTTTGCATCCATAACTTTTCTTTCAGACTAGTGGAAAGAAAACATCTCAAATAAACTTTTAAGTGTTTATTTTATTACACTTTATCTATTTGAGTCTAGATTTCAATTACAATACATATCTATAAAGGCCTAAATGAGTTTTGACAAATCTCCACTTTAGTAGCACTTTTAGTATCAGACTTTTATTCCTATAACTCAATAAGCTTAAGAATTTAATAAAAATTTAATTTTATGAAAAGAAGAAGAAAAAAAAAAAAAAAAACTTTAAAACTGGTTATATCCAATGTCCAGATGTATTTTCTGGAAATGCATGCAATTTAGTACCTCATTTGCACATGAAAACATAACTTGTACAAAACAATTGTCTTAATGTACTGTGGGATGTACCGATTCGTTTTTTATTTTACCTCATTAACCTGTGGTAAATATTGCCATTCATTATTTATTATGTTTCGTTGTATTGGTACAAATGAACAAATATTCAATTCAAGTTTATTTGTATAGCGCTTTTCACGATACAAATCGTTGCATTGCAACTTTACAGCAAATTAAGTTTCTACAATATTTAGTAGTAGCTTATCAGTGGTGATTGTCAGTTAATGTACATATGGCAGAAATGTACGGAAAAATTAAAGACGTAATCAAACAGACGATATCATTCTTCTTCATGTTCATTTAGTATAAATTATATAATATAAGTACAATTATATAGTAGAAGTACAAATGCCTTGATTATTTTCAACTAGATTTTTACTGTTATATTAGAAAATGTTCTTACATTAAACATTTTAATGCATTTGACAATGATCTTTTAGTCTTATTTATATACAATTATAGTATTCATTATTTTGAATGAATTATTTTTATATTTTCAGTTTTCATTTTAATTATTTTTTTAAATTAAATTAATTTAAATTTAATAATTTGTTTTAATAAATTTAAGTGCTTTGTCATTTTTTAAAATTTTTATTAATACCGTTTTAATTTTAGTTTAGGCTTTAGTCATTTTTATGTGCTTTTAAAAAAGTATTTCTAATCAGATTTCATTTATTTTTATTTCACTTTTAGTCATTTTAGTACTTCAACTTAAACTTACTTTATTTCAGTTAGCTGCAAAAATAACATTTCTAATTTTCATGTTTTAATTTAACATTTATATTTTATTTCAGCAACAAAAGCGATTTTGTAATAGTTTTAGTTAACAATAACAACACTGATTTGGCAACGATGTCAGTCTCGCCTTAAACGTCCCTTCAGATTCTTACCTGTGCAAACTGGGAGGGGTTATAAAATGTCACGCCTCCTGCAGGTGGAGCTCCTTGCGCTGGCGGCTGAGCGGGAACCTATGAGAACACATTTACGGTTACCATAGGAACAGGAGAGCAACATCACCATGCATCTCCATGGATATAGACGGCCATGCCCACAGAAAGTCATGATTAGCATGCAGCACGTGATTGGTTATTGTATGCGTGCACCAAAAGGGCCGGAGCCTCGATCTTCAGCACGCCTCTGAAATCCAAGAGCCCTTCTTATTGGCCGACAGGGCCGCTGGTGACATATAAAAGTTTCGTGCTGGAGGTGTGGCTACAAGTGTGTGATGTTAGAAGCGTGCAGACAACATGTGTGCATGTGATTTAGAAAGCACTGTTGTTTTATTACTGCAGTGTCTGGAAAAGGTGTGCATGTGTGTGTTTCAGATAAGAACCAGCTGAAAGTACCTGATTTAAATGCTGACTCACTTCTCGAGATAGAGAACTCATTGAGCTAGAACGTGACAGCTAGAACAGCAGGAATAAACAAAACAAACAAACAAAAACACCACAAACCCAAATTAATTCCATGCAGCTCCATCTTAAATCACACATCTCTTGTCAATCATTACAGTAAGATTACATCACGATCGATGGTCGCTATGGCAACGCCTCAGTAGCATGTAGTCCTTAACATGCGCCCTCGCTCTCAAACACGATCGCACACACTCATGCTCTGTGTGATCATAATCAAAGCCAATAATCATAGAATACAGTTAGAGATACAAGTTAACGTGTTTGTGTTTTTCAGAGGTAGTAAGTGTACATATGAGCACATGTTGTTTTAATTGTATTAATTCATGGGTGAAGGAGCAGGGCGTGACAGGATGAAGTGGCTTTAAAGGAGAACTGGCAAGATATTAAAGGAGGATCTGACCTCTCCAGACTGGGTTCCCTCTGGGCCAGGAGGCAAAGCATTCGGATTAAACATCTAGATGGAAAACACACTCATTATAGTGGATGTGTATTAAAAAGCATGTCTGCACAGAATTAAGATCCAATAAAAAAATTAACTAACTAATTAATTAAATAACCAAATGCCAGAGAAAAAACAAACAAACAAACAAACCGGCTCTGATCAGTAAATAAAAATAAAAAATAAAAAAAATAAAAATAAAAAAAGAGCCAAATGCAAGAAAAAAAGACCTTCCTCTGGTGAATAAAATAAAATAAAATTATATAAAATGTCTCTGGTGAGTTACAAAAGTGAAATGAATATAAATAAATAAACAAATAAATAAATAAAATATAAAATATACGAATATGTGAATGAGCAAATCAAATAAAAGAGATATAAAATGCCAACTGTAGAAAAGCTCCTCTAACAACATTTACCATCAGACATTTAGCTGGGAAGTACCAAAAATATTTCCACTGTTAGACTCAAACTGCCAGTTATGACAAAAGTAAAATTGTGGACATTGTGTGTTTATATGGATATTGTGTACCTGTGGCACTGTGGCACTAGTCTGCGCTGTGTTTTCTCCACTGGCATCTGGAACGCTTCCCTCCATCGGCTGCTGCTGCTCATCTGGGGCTGAAAACAGCAGTGTTAGACGGCACACAGACATACAGTGATGTACATTAACACACTGATGTACACATACACACCTGCAGCTGGTGTAAAGAGGTTGGCTGGCATAGCCATGGGAGCGAGAGGAGCAAACAGGTCAGCAGGAGGCGGTACTGCAGCTGCCGGTTTAGATCCTCCACGACCGGGATTCAACACGTCCACATAACGGCTCTTAGTACCTGAAACACACACGCAAACTCACTTACAAAACAGCCAAGAGCATTACTTGCAGTTACGACAGATTAAAGACGAAGAGACATTAATAGTGTGTCTTTGATTTAAACCGCTTTAGCACAAAATAGTAATAGATTTGGGAAGATTGATTCATTTTCATGAATCAGTTCTTTTGAACTGTCCATTTCAAAGAATTGATTCATCAGTTTGTTTGGCTCATCAAAGTCCCTGTGAGCCGATTAACATTTTTTAATATTTCAATAAAATATAAATAGGTAAATATTGCCATTTACTACTTTGTTTTGTACTACTGGTACCTATGAACAAATATCATTCTTCTCCATGTTCATTCAATGTATAAAATGCCTTGATTATTTTAACTATTGGATATTTACCGTTTTAGTTTTTAATTTGAAAATTAAAAACTAAGACAATAACATTTTAATGTATTTGGCACATAGTTATTTAAGTATTTATATACTATTTTAGTACTTATTAATATTTTGAACTAGCTTTTATTTTTATATTTTAAATTTAAATTTAAATTTTAGTTTGTTTTAATGAATTTAAGTGCTTTTGTCATTTTTGTATTTTTAAAATATTTTTATTTATCTTTATTTTATTTTCATTTCAGTTTTAGTCATTTTAATACTTCAAGTTATCTAATTTTTTATCTAATTTATATTTTATTAGCTTTATTTCAATTAACGAATATAATGTTTGGCAGCAATGACTGTTTGGTCAAAGTTATGTTTCCTCTAGAAAAATTAAACCCTTGTATTCCAGAGGAAATACATGTATATAATTTTACTAGAAGATTATTAAATGAACAGATTTCTCATTAATAAGTAATTAGGAAAAGAAAAGGTGACACACCCGCTCTCCTGGAGAACATATTAACAGGTGGCCCCCCTGCAGGACCACCCGCTCCTGGTGGCCTCATCCCTCCCATTGGAGCTTTGGGGAATCCGGTAGGTGGAGGAGGAGGGGGTTTGCTCTGAAACACATACAAATTAGGGTTGGGCGATGTCGACAAAATTGGCATCGGACGATGTCTACAGTGAAACATCGCGATGGATGATTCCTTATAAGGGAAAACAAATAACGATTCCTAACACTGTGTCTACACCAGACGTGAGCGGCGCGGCACGACAAAATACTATAGAACCACTGATCTATAATAGAGATTTATTATATATAGATCAGTCTATAGAACTCATTATAATCAGTGATGCTGTCTACACTGGATGCGGCGCGGCGCGACACGACAAATCCCCGACATTAAACTGCTGCCGCGTTCTATTTATGACGTGCTGACACAAATTTCAAATGATTTTCAACGGTCGCTTTGTCGCGTCCAGTGTAGACAGACTTTAGCTGATGCGGCGCGTCATGATGCCGGCTCAACATCGTGATGTCTATCAGCCATCGGCGATGGACGATGGCATCGTCTATCGGCTCAAACCTAATACAAATACCATCATTCAAAATGATGCATGCATAATACAATACAGAATTTGAAATGCATGAATTCTTGAAGTGTTGTCAAAAGTACCGATGTTTGGAAGCTGCGTCTATCAGCGGATCCCTAATATATCTGCTCATTGACGGATCTGCCGATAGATGTGGCTTTCAAACGCTCCCGTGTGTATCTGTGTAAGCGCTCGGTGAAGAGATTGTGAAGCGATGATCATTGTAGCCAATCACAGACATATCTGTTGAGCGTGTGAACACAATGGCACATTTTTTACATTTCAGTACGGACATCGGTACTTTTGACAACACTAAATTCTTGTGCTGTACCTCTTCCTCTGGTTCATCCAGATTCACCCATTTCTGCTTCTTTTCATCCCAGACGATCTGAAAAATCAAAGTTTTCTCTTAATCAATGCTATGAAACAAGACAAGACGATCATGAGAGAGAGCAGGATGTTGTTGGAAGTAGGTGCCTACAGATTTGTTCCTGTCGTCTGGCAGATGTGCTTCGCTCTTGCGCTTTGAATACAGCCAGGTCAGCCAGCCACCACTCGCTCCCTGACGAAGAACGAAATTTCAATTGTGAAAGATTTTCTAGTGCATATCCAGTGGGTCTCAGTATATGTTTATATGCAAGTATGTACTTTTTTGGGAGAGTCTTTCTTGGTCTTCTTGGGTTCGTCCTGTGGTGGAGCCTCTGGGATAGGAGGGGGCGGTGGAGAGCCCTGATTGGCTAGAGAACTGCTGCGCTCCCGTCCAGAATGATTGGACGATTCTGATGTTGTGCGAGACCGACGACCTGATGTCTGCAAATCAGAACAAAGTTTGTTTAAACACCAAGTACACTAATGTTTAAAAATGTGTGGAGTTGGTAAATTTTTACAAATGATTTTGAAAGTCACTTATGCTCATCGATGCTGCATTTATTTGATCAAATATAGTAAAAACAGTAATATTGTGAAATATTATTAAAACGTAAAATAACTGTTGTATTTGAATATATTGTAAAATGTAATTTATTCCTGTGATCAAAGCTGAATTTTCAGCATCATTACTCCAGTCTTCAGTGTCACATGATCCTTCAGAAATCAGTCTTATATGCTGATTTGCTGCTCAAGAAATATTTCCTATTATTATTAATGTTGAAAACAGTTGTGCAGCTTCATATTTTTGTGGAAAGTTCAAAAGCACAGCATTTATTAGAAACAGAAGTCTTTTGCAACATCATAAAGGTCTTTACTGTAATTTTTGATTAATTTGATGCACCCTTGCTGAACTTAAGTATTAATTTTAAAAAACGGTACTGTGTGTATGTATATGTATAGACTGTACCAGTTGCACTGATGACTGTGAAGTGGTTCTTGATCTTCTGCCTGGGCCCTTAAAAAGAGCAATCGGTTTAATAGATTTCATAGAATATAAGCGTTATATTCCATAAAAACTAAATCTTTAACAATCTATTCTTTGTACGAGTAATACAATGTCATGCATTTAAAAAGCAATATTACCCGACACTGGTGATGGCAGTAAATATGGAGTAACAGGCAACAACATACAAGAAAATATGAAACTAACATAACTAATGTGTTATATTCCATTAAAAGTAATGATGCTACATTTTATGCAACAAGGTAACATTACTTTAAATAGTAATAACAGCCAGTTAGTTGTTGCAATAAATAGGAATTTTGGGTTTCTGGCTTATTGTAACTCACCATGCGTGCCATTTCATCATAGAAGTCCTTCCCTTGTGGAGGGGGGGCAGTGAACGAGGGAGACGTCTGGGGGAACTGCTGAGGAGAGGAAGGGACATAGAGCCATGTTCAGCCCCTGGCATTGGCGGGGGCATCTGAGGTGGCATTCCTGGTGGCATCTGTGGAGGCATTTCTGTAGGGCTGTACGTTGGAATTTGTGGGGGCATTTGTTGGGGTATTTGTGTGGGTATTTGGGGTGGCATGGGCATGTATTGCTCATGCATTTCAGGTTGGAACGGTGCTGCAAAATTTGGCTGTGGTGGCCCCGGGGCCACTGGGTAGAATGGAACGCTTTCACCCGAAGGCGGGGCCTGCTGCAGAGGGACAGCACCATCCTGAAGAATAGTGGGAGGAGCTAAAGGAGACAATAAAATAGATGGTGAATGATTACAGAATCAAAATAGATTCTTCTTAAGTTCACATTCTATACTGAGTCGTACCTGGAGGCACGAGTTGAACACCAGCTGAGGGCAGAAGGGAGGCCATGAGAGGATTGTGGGGATCAGGGTTCAGAGTCGAGGGGTCAGGTGGGCTGCAGTGGTCTTCTGAACTGGGCGTACTGCAGTGATAAAGCAGTGAGGTGCTGTGATCTGCACGTAAGGTGATCGCACCATCCTGAATGGGACAATAAAATGCACGTGATCGGAACACAGTCTAATGTGAACGTACAAAAATATAAGTGCATTTCTTCACTGAACAAGTAACTCTGGTATGACTGCATGATTTGGGGAAAAAGGTTATTCTGTTGACAAATTTATTAAAATTGCGATTGCAATTTAATATTTTTTTTTTTTTTAAGAGCTTCAGAGCTACACAATTTGGCCAAAAATATTGCAATTATTTATCAATATAACTATATAATAATAATGATAATAATAATAATGATTATTATTATTATTATTATTATTAAGATTTTGATGATGATCATCATTGTTATTATTATTATTATTATTAAATAAAATATTAAACATAATAAGAAATATTATAAACCTGATTTATTGGGATTTTTCCTGATAAAATAATGTAACTAATTTAAAATGTGATTTAAAAAAAAAAAAAAAAATTTTTGTGCTGTTTACACGACTGCAAAATTTGGCCAAAATGTTGCAATTATACATCAATATAATTATAAATTGTATAAATCATAAATTATATAAACATCATTATATAAATTAATAATAATAACGATGAGGATGATTAAATAAAAAAAAGAAATATTACTATTGTAATAAGAAAATTTTAACTTAAAATAAGAAAGAGTATTTAATAACAATAATAATTTAATTTTACAGTACAACTTTAAAATGACAATACTAATATTAATGTCTTAATTTCTTCATTTTCAAATGTTAAACCATCAAGCTTTTATTTTGGTGGAAAACCACAAGGGGCCCTTAAGGTTTCTCATTGTTGGTAAGCATGTTGGTAAACGCTTCTCTTTACAAAGCCATTATGATTTGATAATCGCACTAAGACATATCACATAAGTTCAATTTTATTTCAATTAATCAGCCTTTTCTGGTATTATGCTATTAATTCAAAAAGAAAATCGTTAATTTACTGGTACTATGCAGGAACAGAGTAATGCATGTAAATAACATGTCACTGGCATGATGACTTATGGATAAAAGAAAACAGACACACCTTGATCTGCCCATCGAGTTGTCTAAGATGCAGTAACCAATCAGGCTCTATAAACAACTCCTGCTCTGGTCTCTCCTTCAGCTGAGGGTCAAAAAACCTCAACCTCAGAGACATCTGTAATCAAACACGAGAAGAAAGATTAGATAGAAATGTAAACTCAGAGACAGGCAGAATCATCTGAAGCCTGTTGGTTTGAGTACCTGTATGAGCTGACTGATGAACACAGGTGAGAAGTACTCAGGTAGGCTCAACAGGGTGCGTGAGATGACCTCACAGTAATGGAAGGCTTGAGCGCAGAATCCCGTCTCCGCCAGTCGACACGCGTAGATGAACTTGAACACCTGTATAGGTCAAAGGGTAAAGGGTCATGACCTTCCTGGATTTGTGGAATGTAAATATTAGGGCTGCACGGCATTGGACTATTTTTGAAAGAATTAATCATTCTAGAATGACTGGGGTGATTCTATTGGGAAGTGCATCTACGTAGGAAAAATACAGTAAAAATAATTTTAAAAAGCTGAAAAATGACTGTTGATTCTGAAGACTTTTCTGAGTGCAAACCAACCTTTTAGGGTTAAACAACATGGGAAAAACCTGACAAATCTGGATGTTCTCACTTGGGTTTTCTCTTTACAAGAACCAACTCAAACCTCTTTCAGTGACCATAAAGAAAACAGTTAAAAAAAAAGCTAATAGTATTATTTGCAGTTTATTTACTGCAAATAATACCATTACCATGTAAAATAACAAAATCAAGTATTTAATTAGAATAAAAGAAATCATTTAATTTTAAAGTACAACTGTAAAAAATATTGTTAATTTTCATTTTCATCAAGTTTTCATTTTGGCATTTGTCTGCAAATAAATATATGCACTGATGGTTTCAGAGTAAAGCATGGCACTGCGTTCATTTACACGCATACAGTTTGTGATATGCTGTTTCAGCTTCTAAAATTGGCTCAATTCATAGTAAATGAACCAAGCCGCTATAAGACACTGAAACAGTGGATCATAAGCTGTACGTGTTTAAAAAAAGATAGTGCCGCACTTCATTCTGAAACCTACAATGGCGTACACTCCAAAGAGAAAGGAAAACTTGAAATCGCATCATATGACCCCTTTAATCATTGCAGCTATCACAATTTGTCTATTGCATTAAGCCATATTGCAATATTGACTTTTATTTCGATATATTGTACAGTCCTAGTACAGATAGGCCTAACTAGCCTAATTATAAAATGTTGTCTATAAAACTGAATAGTCCATTTATCTGTCAGACAGGCCGCCAACTAGTTTGTTTGTAAAAACATCCCTAGTAGAGTAACTGCATGCGTACGTGTTTGTCTCACCTGGAAGTTCGGCAGAGAGAGAGGCTGAGAGCTAAGAGACTGAGCGTATTCATACGATTCTGTACGCTGAATCGCCTCTGACGAGCAGAACTTCAAAAATGGCAAGCTGTGAGAGAGACAGAGTGAATGGATGTTAATGCAAACAAATGCAATGTGCATTTGCACATTTATGTCCTTATAGTTGTGTGAATACATATCTCTAATCAACTGTATGTGTTATTACAAACCTGTGATTGGAACCTATAAGGACCATCTTGGTGCTTTTCTTGGTGTAAACACCAAAACCCACCTGAGCCATCAGGTAACAAAAATGGGCTGCATCCACTAGACTTTTAGATGCTGTGAAACACAGAACAGTCTTGACTACAGATCCAGGGCTACTACAACATGTGTTTATGCTTTGCATCTACATTTATATACCTAAAGTGTCCCCCATGGTGGAAATGGTGCGGGTGTCAAGATCTAGAGTGTGTGTGAGGTTGGATAGCACCATGGCCAGATGAGGGCGCCAATCGCCCCATTTCTCATCTCCACAACACTGTCAGAGAAACAGAAGATGTATGTGAAGACAAGCATTGCGTAAATTACTAAATTAACACATCCAACGCACAAAAACTCTCCCATACAGTAGCAGCAGCTGGCATTCGTCCTGACATGAGCTGGTACACCGTCTGAAGAGGGTCGTTAATAGGCAGGCTGTTGGCAAATCTGAAAACAACAAATATAAACACAATTTAAGCCCGTATTTGTTGCTTTGAAACCATGCAGCCATAGGTCACTGTAAGTAGATGTGGTTTACCTGGTCATGACACGGGCATGTGTTCTGTTGTCCATCTTACTGGCCAGTAACAGTGCGTGACCCCACAGGCCATTCTTCATAGCAGACTCCAGAGCATCCTAACAAACATACACAAACTTCTCAATTGTCTTTCCACTATTTAAATATATGGCTTTGTCAGTGAGGACAAATATGTAATCTACATCCACATAAAATAATATGCAGGCATGTGATCAGCTAAGGACAAAAAAAATATTAAATAAAAACATATTCCCTTTCCCCATGCAATATGACTAGACAATATTATTATTAAAAATATTTTGATTTGTTTAAATGAACAAACTTCCACAAACTAAAATTGAACAGGATATTCAACCAGTAACAATATGGTCAAGGACATGCTATCCATTGGAGCCGACTGGATCATGAAAAGTGGTCTCTATATGGCTGAAGGGGGGAAGGAAAGTCATGCATTTTGTCTCACCTTCTTGCGGCCGAATAGTAGTAGTTCTCTGAAACGCTCCGTCTCCTTGCCAACATTCTCTGGCACGCCCATGAAAGTGTCTGATAGAAGGGATACTGGCCCCGCCTCTTCCTCCTCAGCATGCTCTATTGCTTCATTGTTGAAGTCGATGAGATTAGCCTCATTGGGTGATTTTCCCGGCAACCAGACAGAGCGATGCTCCTTTAGTAACAGGTCAGCAATGTCTGTGCCCACTACCGTCTAAAACAAAGACGAAAAACTACTCGGTATACTAAAAAAAGGAATTGGTATCAAACCAGCAACCAAACACAATACACACTCAGTTAAGGCTAGGGCTGCACAAATACTCACCCCATTCTGGCGACACAGCAGCACAATGAACTCCCAGATGAGGTAGGCGGAGTCTTTGTCGATGAGGTCATCGTTTCGCAAACACTCTTGGGCTTTGTTCTGAGCAAACTTTATGACATCCACCTTATGAGTCTCCTCTCTGTGGACATACACATGAGACGATGACTGGATTGTTTGTCTGTGTACGTGGCTCTAACAGTGTCAGAGTATACACATGTACACTTTTATTCAGTAAATAAAGCAGGACTATTACTTGACGAGCGGGCCAGGGAATGAACGCATTTCTGACTGCTCTGGAGAATCCTGCAGAATCATCTGGAATAACATCACAGCCAAGATATCAGATGCAAATAATGTAGTTGAGCAATTATCATGGACCTATTTATAACCAAATCACAAAAGCAAAACAAAACTGCACAGCTGAGGATCAAGGGGAAGGTTAAAAGTTTAACAAACATCTAATTGCAAGCTAACTCAATTAGTTGCAAAGTACTACTTTAGTGGTTAAACTTTAGGGGTAAAACGGTTTTACAATGTAGGTAATTACCTAGGAACATCTGATAAATAAGCTAATTATAGAATTTATGAACTGAAAAAAATGCTTAAATAATAATAAAGATATCGGTGATAACTTGCAATTGATTTATATATCAGGATATTTGCACACTGATTCAAATGTTACCTCCATACTGTGGAGTTCCACAAGTGTAGGCTGACCAGCAGAGGGCAGGTTGGGTTGGACAAGGATCAGCTGACCAGCCGGACCAAACCGAGCACAGCGATGAGGAATAGAAAATTTCTCTGGGGTCAACGGCCTTGGAGGAGCTGAGAAAGAAAAAAAATGAGAGAAAGACACAGATGAAGATGGTTCAAGATCATTTTACTTCCCCAAACAAATCAGGAAGCTTTGGACTGATGCATGCAACACCGGCTGAGTGGCATTAAACAGCTTAAAATATCAAAGACAATGTTTAATATAACTCCGACTGGATTCATCTGAAAGAAGGAAGTCATATATACCTAGGATGAGACTTTAGGGTGAGTAATTTATGGGTTAATTTTCATTTTTGGGTGAACTAACCCTTTAATAAAGGCCTTCTGAAGCGAAACGATGCATTAGTGTAAGAAAAATATAGATTTTTCAAAAATTATAAACTGTAATCTCCAAGTTCCGGTCGCTCAAGTAGGCGCATTCACGACAAGGTGTTCGAGCGTATGACGTAAGTGTAGCGGAATGCGCATCGTAAGCTCCGGAGAGAAGAGTGTAGTCTCGCGAGAACCAAGTTTTGTTTACAGCACAGGGAAACCACGTGAACTACATCTGTAGTTTGTGCTGCCGCCGCTGCAGCCTCCTCATTCTCGTGGAGTTCCTGGCCAGTATACTCCGGTTCAAACAAATATGGCAGGTTTTGTAGTACTAGTTTGTGACAGGTGTTTTGTTTTGCTTTCTCCTCTGTGCTTCCGCATTCGTCACTCTCTCCAAGGAGCTTCCGCTACGCCTACGTCATATGCTCAAACGTCTTTTCGTGAACGCGCCTGCTTGAGCGACCGGAAGATGGAGATTACAGTTTATACATTTTTAAAAATCTATATTTTTCTCACACTAATGCATCGTTTAGCTTCAGAAGGCCTTTATTAACACCCCAGAGCCGTGTGGAGTAGTTTTATGATGGATGGATGTAGATTTTTAGGCTTCAAAAATAGGGGCATCATTCACTGCCATTATACAGCTTGGAAGAGCCAGGACAATTTTAAATATAACTGCGATTGTGTTCGTCTGAAAGAGGAATGTCAGATACGCCTAGGATGCCCTGAGGGTGAGTAAATCATGGGCTAATTTTCATTTTTGGGTGAACTATCCCTTTTTATGCATGTGCATTAAGTGTAAAATCGATGCTTTAATAATTTTAAAGGAACACTCCACTATTTTTGAAAATAGGCTCATTTTCCAACTCCCCTAGAGTTAAACAGTTGAGTTTTACCGTTTTTGAATCCATTCAGCCGATCTCCGGTCTGGCGGTAGCACTTTTCTAATCAGATTCAATGATCTATGCTAAGCTACAGCTAAAAGTGCTTTTAAAAGAAAATCCCAATGTTAAATGCAACATCATGGTGGACATTGGGCTTTATGTGTAAAACTTACGCTGCTCTGGGGCAGTCCAGGTGTTGTCTGTAGAGTAAGAAATCTGACTGTAATCTGCAGTATCTGAAGGGTTAGGATACTGGCTGTAGGTGTAATCCGCTGGAAGAGTCGTCCCAGTGGTATCGTAGGCTGCACTGACCAAATCTGGTTGACTTCTATACACTTGACTCTGTATAAGGAAGAAATTTGTTACAGACACAATACGATCTAAAAACACACACACACACACACACACACACAGACCTGTTGAGACCGTGAGCTGAAGCTACTGTGTTGACTGTGTGATGAATGGACACTGTGTGCTGATCGTTCACTGTGAACCGAACGGCGGTCAAAATCGTCAGCGTACGGATCACGGCGCCGGTAGTCATCATCAAAGCTTGAGTCATAACCAGGGTAATATCGCCATGGATCATCATAGCCCTCTCTTCCCCTAGCAACCATTACCATGAAAACTCAGTTAGAGAGGTGTCAGCATGTACAAAAACATTAATTGCACAAGTGTATTTGTGTACCTGTTTTGATATTGTTGGTTGTTGTAGGCATCTCCATAGTACCAGCCATATGCTTGATCATAGTAGGCTTTGTAGCGTGGATCATAAGCAGCATTTGGATCATACCACCTGCTCCTATCTGAATACACAAACACAGACTCATAAGCAAAAAGCAGAAACCATATTTAGCCCTTGGGTGCATAGAGAACAAGTGTCTGTAGTGCTGTCTTTACCTCCATAGGCATCATTCTGTCTTTTATAGTAGTTTGCATAGTAGTCATCATAGGCACTACGGCTGGATCTAGAAAAGTCTTCTTGATACCCCTGTCTAAGATCAAAAATTAGAAAAACAAGAGAAACATTTTATTAATATTAAAAACAAAAAGTACAAAATGCTCAGTCTAAGGATGCTTTGAAACTAGGGCTTTTGACGCTGAAGAGTCACAACAGATTCTGGGTATGATGAAATGTATTCAGGAACCATTTTGTGCATGTTAAAGGTGACCTATTATGCCCCTTTTTACAAGATGTAAAATAAGTCTCTGATGTCCCCAGAGTGTGCATGTGAAGTTTTAGCTCAAAATACCCTACAGATAATTTTTTTATAGCTTGTTGAAATTGCCATTTTTAGGGTATGTTTTCTGTGTTTGTCCCTTTAAATGAAAACGAGCTGGTGCTCCTGCCTCCCCTTTCAGAAGAGGGTGGAGTTTCTAGAGCTCTCGCACCGGCATGCCAGCAATAACAAAACACTCTCTCACGCACTGGAAATGTCAGAAACTGCTAGTAGCGGTGTTCAGCCATATATGTTCGAACCGGTGTCATGCCGAATTCTGCACCCTGCCAGATTATTTATGAATTACACCAACACCTTGCAAAAGTGAATTTTGCATAATAGGTCCCCTTTAAGTTATGGTGTAAAATAAAAAATTCTAGTGGTAAACAGCTAGAAACCCTGATTGCGACCAAGCAATAGAAACCAAGTATGAAAACAGACTCAAAGTGTCAGAAAGAGAGTGAATGATCTGACCTGGAGTTGGGTCTGTCTGAGTATTGGCTGGTTTGAGAACTTGGCCTCTCTGGTTGACGTTCAGCCTCCCGGTAGCCAGGATTCTGACCATCATACCATCCGTATCGAGGATCTCCTCTACGGTAGGGATCATCCTACAAAATTAAAAACATATAGAAAATTATGAATATTTTACCAAGTCATGTTTTAAGTCTGGAATTTAGAAGTTTTGATATGTGGAAACATACTAGATCACTACATCACTGCACCTGATAGTAGCTTTGAGATCTGGGATCCATAGGGTACTGGGGTGGGTACGGCAGTCTTCCATTCTGGTACTCAGGGTAGGGTCCCGGGTAGTACCCTGCGTAACCCGGACCAGGTGGCATCGCAGGAGGAGCACCATAACCTGATTGATCACCTAGAGATGAAGGAGGTCTTTGGGGTTCTTGAAGTGGCTGGGGGGCAGAGTTCCCAGACTGGGGTGGGTAAGAGGAAGGTAGGGCAGATCCGAGAGGGACACCAGGTTGAGTTGGCAGGGCATGTGGAGGAGGCTGGTGTTGAGCTGGAGGTGGATGGGCAGGGTGGGAGGTGTGAATTGGATCTTTGACAGGTTGGTTGCTGCAGGGTCGTGGGGTGTTTGAGTTCTGCAGAAGGGGCAGTGCCTCGCTGTCAGACTGCCCACCCTGCTGTGCATCTTTGGTGACCTGCAGGTAAAAGCCGGGTGTGTTATTCACCAAGCCCGCAGGATGGGCAGACTGAGAGACAGCTGGGACCATCACCTGATTCGTGGACTGTGGTTGATGCATAGAAAAATCAAGCAGCTCATAATTTGAAGATTCATTGTGACTTGTGGCAGGGGCAAAAGTCAGAGCTTGAGAAACAGAAGGCAGAAGAGACTGGCTATCACTTCTAAGAGACTGAGCCCTTGAGAGAACGGGTCGGGCTGCTTGAACAGAGGGCTGAACATCTTTTGCCTCTCGTGCTAGATTCAAGATACATTGAGTGGAAGAAGTGCTGAAGTTTACTGGTGTCTGAGAGAAAAGAGGCTGTGGCAAATTTGTTGGAGGAGAATTCTGAGGCATTTGATTGGTCACAGAAGACTGAGGGTGTGGGTGCACAGGTGTTGCTGTCTCTTGAGAACTTGTCTGATTGAAGGGTTGTAAGAGGTTTTGAGAGGAAACCAAACTGGAAGGTGGCGCAATCGACACAGGTTGGTTCAGGGCCTCTACGGGAGGCGAGGTCACCAGCAAGGAGGCATATCCCACACTTGTCTGAGGCGTGGAGTCTGGGGGAATTTCCAGATTTTCAGAGGGAGGTTGTGGATCTAGGTTCGCTGGATGCAAATCAAGAGGGCCATCCTCTGGTGGCTGGATGACTTCGGATGGATGTGCTGGAACAAATGTTGCAGCCAGCGAGGGTGCTGCAGGGGCTAACAGTATGTTAGCACCTAGACTGGCAGTGTCATTTTGAGCCCAGAGTGTAGTAGCGGGACTCTCAATGGGGCGTCGTGCTCCCTGAGCTCGAGATGAGGGTCGGCGTTCCGGTAAGTAAATGGTCTCCAAGTTATCCGGGGGTTGTTCTAGGTTGCCAGGCTGCATGTCACATCCACCCTTTTCCATGACCACACGTGCACGATCAACCTCAGCAGGTCGAACTCCTACACCATGTGAGCGGACAGGCTCAAAGGAAGAATTTGCACTCGCTTGGAACACACCAACGGGTTTAGGTGGGCTAGGAGTTGGGAAAGTAGGACTTGCCTCTGCAGCTGGGTTGGAGTCTATCTGTTCAAAATATCCACCAGTGGAGGGATGCAAAGCAGGGTGATCTGGTGGGCGGGGACTTTCCTGTTGGATAAATGTTCCCACTACACCTTGCTGTCGCAGAGGGATGTGGCTGCCGCTCTGAGGAACGTGCCCACTGCTGTGACTGACGTTACTGTAGCTGGATGAAACACTTGCAGAGCGGGCAAGACGAGGGCCAGTGTCAGGTGTCTCCAAATTAGGCCCCCCCTCAAAGGCATGGCTTGGAGGAGGCTCACTAGGCAGCACTTCCTGGTTTGGAACACATTCCTGATTCTCCACAGAATCACATGGCCCTGCCCCGGCTCGAATGTTACCAGTGTCATTCAAATATGGACCAGAGAACTCAGTCGTCGAATGGAAAGGGTGATGAATCCCATTTACACGTCCCTCCCCTGACAGTGTTTCTTCATTTTCAACATCATTGCCCCGAAAGCACATTGAGAGAGTTCCGGAATCACTGGGAACTTCAGAGTAGGAGACAGAGCAGGCACGCTGAGATGGATCCTGTGGGTTTTGATTGAACCATGGCTCTAAGGGTCCACCTGACTGACTGAAGTAATTCTGAGCCGGGAAGTGGGAGTTGAGTTGCTGAGTTGGAGCAGGCCCAGTCACATTTGGTTGAGCTGACTGACCTTGATTCTGAAATTGTGTCAATGGTGGGGCTGTGTGGGAAGAGGGCACAGGGGGTGGGGCTTGAACTTGAAAAGGCTGAGATGGGAGATCACTAGTTGGCTGAAAGTAGTTCTGAACAGAAGGTGGGCGGCTTCTGTGGTCAGGCACCCAGTGAGAAGGTAGGGGAGGCGTTGGCTGGGATTGAAAAGGAGTCTGGGATTGAACTGGAGGTGTTGGGGCAGTGAAGGGTGGATGTGATGAACCAGAACTGAAAGAAGAAGCAGGGTTAGGTAATTGTGCTATATAGGGCATAGGTTCTTGGGAATTAAAGTATCCTGGTTCTACAGGTGGAGGATTGGAGTTTGGTGCAGACCCTGGGAGAACTGGTTGAGGTGTAAAAATTCTTGGTGGTGGGCCAGGAGAGGCTGCCTGCGCTGCTCCTGGTGGTGGCCCTTGTGGTGGAGTCGTCGGGTTAAACACAGGCAGGGGAGGACCTTGCATATGAAGTGGGTTGCTGTTTGTGGTTGGAACTTGGCTGCCCCCTGCCATGGGTGAAAAACTTTGTCTTCCAAAGGCAAAAGGATCAGTCACTGGCTGTGTGGGTGGGGCAGCTGGTGTCATAGCAGCTGCAGCCCCATGCTTGTGAGGTCTGGTTCTTCTGAAGGCATTTGGTCCACCAGAGGGAGGCGGAGGTCCACTAGCTCCAGGAGGGGCTGTCCGAGGAGGGGGCTGCATCGTTTACACTCACAGGTCTCCAAAGTGTTTACACTTACTGGAGATCTCCCTATAGTGGAAAAACACAGATTTATGTCATATCTTGGTGCAAAGATTGTATGGTTTTACCACAGGGTTTGCCTGTTATCAACATGCATCATGTGAACACACATCCAAAGTTCAATTAATACTGCTAATAGTTGCTCAGCTAAAATAACAATGACCATTCTGCTTTAAACATTATATGGTGAGAATGTCAACATGGGCAACGTGGCACCTCTATAAAAGTACACACAAAAGTATCTCTAGCGGACACAAACAAAGTGCCTCACCCCTTCATGAACAAGACATGCAGTTGTTTTATACATTATGTCAGTCTATTTAAAAAAAGTGAACTGATAGATTGCGCAAGTAGCATAAATTTTGACTTCATTTTGTTAAAACCAAGTTTCTTCTCTTATACACAAACATTATCACACCATCTGAGATTCATAAGCCTTATTATGAGCAGGGATGAAGACAGCAGTACTCCACTATGTTGGCATATGGACCACGATCAGAAACCTGATATCAGGCACACTGCGTGCCGGGTGTTAGAAATGTGCATTAAGTTACATTGAACTTTGAAACCTGTCAGACATTTTTTAAAGCAGGGGGCCTCACCTCTACAAGTACATAGTTTAATCTACAACAACAGACGGACAGATGCAGTTTCTCTTTATGAAAATACAGTGTTTATCATTAAACAACAATGTTCTCAGTCACACCAGCTGTGACTAAAACAACACCACTGTGACAAAAACAGCATTGGTCATACATTTGGACACATTTAACGGAATATAATGTTTCCCATTATGTTTTTTTATTTAAAACCTTTTGATTTAAAAGTTTATGCTTAAATGCTTTTCTAGACAAACATACACTACCGTACTATAAAAGTCTGGAGTCAGTAAGATATTTTTTTTTTTTAAGATTTAATACTATTAATTAATACTTATTCAGCAAGGATACATTAAATTGATCAAAAGTGACAGAAAAGACAATGTTATAAAATATTTCTAACTCAAATAAATGCTGGCCTTTTGAACCTTCTATTCATCAAATAAAGTATCATGGTTTCAACAAAAATATTGCAGCACAACTGTTTTCAACATTGATAATAAGAATGAATGTTTCCTGAGCATCAACTCAGCATTTTAGAATGATTTCTGAAAGATCATGTGGCAATGAAGACTGGAATAATGGCTGCTGAAAATTCAGCTTTGCCATTACTGGAATAAATTACATTTGAAAATATATTCAAATGGAAAATAATTATTTCAAATTGTAATAATATTTCACATTAATAGTGTTTTTACTGTATTTTTGAACAACTAAAATGCCCCAAACGTTTGAATGGTAGTGTAATTGCACTTATGCATGCATTTTTTAGAAAGCTCTTTGCAGAACTGTAATCTAGACAAAGGGTGGTAACTTTGAAGAAGCTCAAATATATGATAGTTTTAATTTTTTTAAACATTATATTGGTCATTTAGTATTCACATACTTCCATTGGTGTCGTTTCAGTCTTGATCTAAAATGTGAGAAATAGAAACAATCAAGAATGAGTAGCTAGGAGTCCAAACAGATACTGTACATCCACATTAATCTAGTCTCTGCTAACACTCTAGCCATTATGGATCACAAAACACCCAGATATAACACTGCATTTGAACCGATTGTAAACAATAATGCAGCCAGACAGAAAGGACATAATGGAAGTTCTGGAGTCCAAGGGCTGATAATTCAGTTGAGGTGCCATATAACAGTCTGTGTTACCACATAGTTGGCTACGCTGTCATGTACAGGACGTTTTGTGTTGTCTGAGATTTTGATCTGAGATGACAGATAACACTCTCATCCGTGGCTAAAAGCATAATATTACACAAAATATTTTAATAAAAAAATATGCAATGTGCATATACAGAGAGAATGTTGCAGTATACTGCATTATATCCGGCTCTTAGGCGGACACGTATAGCGCCCCTCACTGGATTTAACCCACTGATGTCACATCCTGGTCTTTAATTCCTGTCTCTTTAACTACAACAGCAAACGTACTTAAAAGAGGTCTAGTATCAATGTATTGAAAACACAAAAATGATGTCATGCTGTTAATGTGGATCATGGTGCTTAGTGCACAAAACTGTCAAAACAAAACATACACACTAAATAAACTTACAGCAGTGTAAATCAAGCAGGCAAAGGGCAAAAAATCTGTAGCTAAATCACAACATAACTAATCAATGAAGCCTGCAAATGTAACTACGCACCTGGACAGTAACATTTTGAAATATCACGAGAAGAAACACAAAGGAATCAACATAAGAAATGTAAATAGAGGATGAGAGGAATGACAGCTGACTGGGCCACTAGCCGTTAGCATGCTAACTATTGCAGTTAATCTCTCGAACCACAGACCTGAACATACTGCTCCATACGGGATCTCTTACCCGTTATCTTCCAGTCGAGATGCACAGATACAAACAAAACTCGATACGAGCGCGGCTGGAGTTGAGTTTCTCAGAAAAGTACAGGACACCGCGGCTGACACTTGTCCGCCATCTTGGCCGAGCGCGTCCTGCTTGGCGACGTGTACATGTGACGTCACGGATCGTTCCCGTTTGGCCCCGCCCCATTCACGACAAAAAATAAACATAAAATATTACATAAATACCACAATCTGCTGAGTGTGAGCTGTAATTTTCGTTAAAATATAATATTCATAAAATTACTGTATTTTACGTTTACTAAATTGCTATTATAAAGACCAGTGCTGCCCAGACTGTCCTACAGCTAAAAGGCGCCCCCTCTTGATCTCGGCGTGTAATTAAATAATTCAATGTTTTGCACATAAACAAAAGTGAGCAAACGGACCATGGTTTATTCTCTTAGATTTAGAACTAACTAATTCGACATATTTCTCTAAAATAAGTTCCATAGTGTCAAAAAAAAACAAAAAACAGACATTAATTCTGCCATACAGCTTCACAAAATGTTCTCAACATTTTTAGATTACATTATCAAAGTAAATAAAGACATAACATCTTTAATCAAATGGTTATATAATATACTGAGTAAATGAGTTAAACGTTAAGTTAAAAGTTATGCTTTTTATTTATATATTTGTTTGAATTTATTTTATATTAATAACTATTAATATAACTTTTTAAATTTATTTTTGTTATAAAAATATATTTTATAAAATTAAATTTTATTTTATATTTTAAAAAACAAATATATATATATATATATATATATATATATATATAAAGACACCAGATTATATGTAGCTGAAAATTTTGCTTAATATTACATACTGGCAATAAGCATTAGCTAAACAAAATATATTAGAGCTAGTTTTTAAACCAACTTTCCTCCTAAAATGCATAGAAAATGCATACATATAAAAATAACCACAAGAACAGGGTAAATTCTGAATCATTTGTTTTTATTTTTGCATTTGTCTTGATGGATATGTTTACAAAATGTATAAAACTAACACACTGAGGGTAAAGCAAACTAAGATGTCCAAAAATACACACAAATAAACATACTATAATAAATAGTGAAGCATTGATGCAGGGTTCTCTGAAGGGTTTTGCATTTTTGATTGCATAAAGAAACACTCCCGGTTCTGGAAGTGTCTGAAATGACACGCACATGAAGACATCTAATGGTATCTACTGTATTGTTCCAGTAATCATGATCTGTGAATGGCGTACCGTTTGCACAGAGATTCCGTGTTGACAGTAGTGTATCTCACATTTTTCTGAGCTGCAACCGTTGTTTATGTTTTTGGTCACTGTATTGGGTCTGAATCACTATGTGAATGTATACAAGAGTGTATATTCTTCTGGATCTGTGTGTTTGTATACAGACATTACGCATTTAGTCTATATCCAGGTCACTGTCTGACAGCGGCATTGCGAATAGACGAGTGTGTGTTTGGCTGAGTGTATTTCTCTGGAAGAAGCCCGTATTCCTGCAGCAGAGCTTCGACGTCTGTGGCGTAGAAATCATCTCCAAGCTGATCGGACACACGCACCAGATTCCCCACCAGCTCACCGCCACGGTATAGCAGCAGGGCCGGCAAAGCCGAACTGCGGAAAAGAGCGCTGGTGCCGACTGCAGAGCCCCGGACCCGACAGAACTTCACCTGCAGGTCAAGGAGAGGAATAGAGAAGTAAGAAATCACAACTTAATACAAATTAAAAGAACAGTTTACCCAAAAATGAGAATTTGCTGCAAATTTACTCTGGCCATAAAATATGTTGATGAGTTTTTTTTCTTCATCAGAACAGATTTGGAGAAATGTAGCATTACATCACTTGTTCACCGATGGATCCTCTGCAGTGAATGGGTGCCGTCAGAATGAGAGTCCAAACAGCTGATAAAAACCTCACAATAATCCTCAAGTAATCCACACCACTCCAGTCCATCAGTTAATGTCTTGTGAAGTGAAAAGCTGCGTGTTTGTAAGAAACAAATCCATCAAGACATTTTTAACTTTAAACAATTGCTTCCTACAAAAATTAGTCCTCTATCCATAATAACGCTTCTCCAGTTAAAAAGTTGTCCTGTCTGAATCAGGAGAGAAACATGCACAAATCAAACAGTGTTTACAGGTGAAATCAGTCCTAAATAGTTCTAAACAAATACGTGGGTGGAAATATGTGAGAGGACAAATGGGGGTGGACTTTTTCACTGCAGGAAGAGATTTTATGGATAAAGGAAGCAACGATTAAAAGTAAAAACGTCTTGATGCATTTGTTTCTTACAAACACCCAGCTTTTCGCTTCTCAAGACAATAACTGATGGACTGGAGTGCTGTGGATTACTTTTGGATTTCTGTGATGTTTTTATCAGCTGTTTGGACTCTCATTCTGACGGCACCCATTCACTGCAGGGGATTCACTTGTGAGCAAGTGATGTAAATTTCTCCAAATCAGTTCCGGTGAATAAACAAACTCATCTACATCTTGGATGACCTAAATGTTTAGCAAATTTTCATTTTATGCTGAAATATTCCTTTAAAGCCCTATAATGAAAACATTCTTCATCAGTGTTACCATTGGGTACTGCACTGCAAGGCAGAGCAGGCTTCCATCCATGGCCTGGCAGGCGGGCACCTCTGGCTCATAGATGTGGACCAGCACCAGAGTGTTCTTGCCCTCCTTGTCAATGGCACGCAGGAACTCCTCTCCTGAAGAGATGTCAATCACCTTTTCGAAGCGCCGCCCTCCACACAGCTGTCGCTGCATCTCCTCCATGCGCTGCAGACGATACTGCTGGAGGAAGGTTTCATCATCATCATCATCCTCCTCCTCCTCTTCTTCATCCACACGGAGGTTCATCTGAAGCAAAAGAAAAGAAAAAAGGGAGAATTAAATTTTGTTGCTGATTTTCAGAAATGGGGAAGGCAGAGAAAAATAGAATAAAAAAACATAGAAAATTGTACTTATATATATATTTTTTTTATGTAAAGTGAGATTATCCATTTGATATGGATAGTTAGGGTTATTATAATTAACTAGAACCATTAAAAACATTTTTGTTACTTGAAATAAAATAAGTTAATTGCAGTAAAAAACAAATTCAATCTTATCTTATTTCAGGTAGTTGTGAAGGCAACATTTCTAATTTTCATTTATTTTTAAGTTGAAGTACTAAAACAACTAAAAATGAAATAAAATGGTAAAAAAATAGACATTTTTTTAAAAATCTGAAAAACAAAAACAAATTACTAAAACATCAACTAAAATTAAAATTAAAATAGAAAAAAAACATTCAAAATATCAGTAAAAACTATAACAGACAATAACCACTGTATCGTGATATTCTGTGACATTCTGTATGTTGACTAGTGTACAGAGTGTTTCTCACTTTGCCTGCGATCTTATCCTGCAGCTCTTTCTGTTTCTGTCTGTCGGCTTCTTCTTCCAGATGCGACTTGCAGGTCATGCTGAGTTTCTTGATGAGTCGCTCCATCTCTTTCTGCTGCTCCATGCGCTGCTCGTTCTCCAGCTGCTTGTATTTACGCCAGTCATTGATCACTCCCTTCGGCCCTGTGGGACAGTCAGACGTGTCAGCAGTCTCACGGATGTGTGGTTGATGAACGTGGATGCAGCATCTTTTAATCAGAGGCTGTGAGAGACAGAAGTACAAATTTGTGTTCATATTTCACGTTTAACCGTACCAGTGTTGACCGAACTGCCATCTGCACTGTAGTCGAGTTCCACATCCAGCACCTCCTGGTCGCGGATGGTTTTGGATGCGTTCTCTTCTTCCTCATGGTCACTCTCTTCATCCTCACTGCTGCTGTAGTAATACTGCAGCTTCTCCCCAAGAAGCTTATCATCAAGCGTCGTCATGATGACAGACTGAGATACATGTGAAAGACACACAGAAAACATACAACCATCACGCTGAGAACAACAAGAAGCATCAAAATCAGCAGTTTAGCAGTTTTTAGTTAAGCAGACAGCACAGACAACTTTCCATTGTACAAAACACTAAGTAACACTTAACAAGGTTTATTTGGTTAACATTAGTTTATTTTTTTTATTTATTTTAGATTTACTTATTTTTTCGATTTTAAACTTTAGGTTGGGTTTTACTTTTAGGATGTTTCTTTTCATTCTTTATTATACATAATTTAAAGTTTTGTTTTTGCATAAATCATTTATAAAGTGTAATTACAAAGGACTTTATTCTGTGAAATTAAAAATAAAAATATTCAAACACAACATTAGTTAATGCATTAGGTATCATGAATAATAAACAAAAAAAAGTTTGTCTACAGCATTTATTAATCTAGTTTAATTATAAATACACTAAGGATCACTGTTGTAAAAAAGTATTTTAGTATATGTAGAAATTAACATTAATGTATTAAATGCTGTAAAAGTACTGTACACTGTATTATTGATGCATAATACTTTTGCTTTATATTTACAATAAAACAATCAATATGATGTCACACCAATATAATAATTTAAAAATACATTAGTGAGTGTAACAGCATTACAGTTTTTAGATTAATGTCATGATTGTTTACAAAGACTGGGTTGCCTTCTCTTTCATTTTTGAGATAATTTAACCCAAAAAAAATTACACAACTCATACACTAACACTATCCTTTTGCTGCCCACTATCAAGTGCTGGTTATTCAGGAAATGCAAATCTAGTTCAAAATAACCTCATGAGAAAATTAGACTGGGGCTGGTAAGAAACCCAATTAGCCCTCATCCCCTCTGGACATGAAATCTAGACTAATGACTTACTAAATATATTTTTAACATATGACACCTTCAGTGTAAACACATACAATCATACATTTCGTAAGAAATACGTATAGATTTAGTATTAGCTAATCTGTCAAACACAACCTGCTACATGGCTAAATACATCAGATAATGTTTGAGAAACATACTACCTAACTAAACGAACTGAAAAATCAATACTGTTCACTTAAAAGGCGTCTGATTTGCTAATTAAAAATCAGTAACTATAAAGTTAAATTATAAATATGAGATTCCCGATGAGTGTTTGCTAGAATGCTACGTTAACATGCTAGTATGTTAGCTAGTCGGTTAAAGCACCAGAACACAACACTACTAATAAAACAGGGTATATATATATTATTAACAAGATGTGTTTATGATTATTAAAACGTTTATAATCTGGTAACCCGACTGAATCTTACCAATATATGTCTCCTTTATCGCGGTTAATCAGTCAAACAGCCTCTTCAGATCCTACGCTGGCTCTACAGCGCAAGCACACGTACTGACCAATCACAGTGCTGAAAAGATGATTGACATGAGTATCCGCCAATAAGAGTCTGAAGCGATTGACAGAAGGCGTTTCAAATATGTTTTGGTGCCAGAAGGTGTTTTGTTTGTTTGTTTGTTTTTTTACAGTACAGGGTTGCCAGGTCTGCGTAACAAAACCAGCCCAATTGGTACTTAAAACTAGCTAATCACGGCTAAAACCAGCTTTACGGGTGAAATTGCTATCAAAATCGCATCAAAAGTCGCTGCTAGTGTGAACGGGGCTTCAAACACAACCCAACCCTCATAGAAAACTAGAAAACGTTATGCATATTTATTATAAAATAAAAACATATCTACTTTATTCTTATACATATCTATGCCAATGTCACCAAAAGATGGTTAATTAGGCACACACACAAAGTTCTCTGGAATGTTGCATCATTAAAATTAGTCATTACTGTAATTATTGGAATTATAGCGATGCTTAGCAACAAGTCAGAACACCCCAGAAAAGCATAGCAGCCAGCCAACATCACGTTTTGTCTTGAGGAACTTTTATAGGTTTCATAAATAAATAACGAAATAAATAAAAACATAATTAAAAAAAAAACATTAAAATATAAAGAAACATCTAAACATGACGAGACATTGATGCAACTTGGTAGTAATAAAAAGTATGTTCATATTTAGTATTTTATGTGTGTTGTATGGTAAATGCGGTTCTATGTCAGCTTAACCTAGAAAATGTCTACTAATGCCACTGTGTAATCTGCTTCTTAGAATGTGCATCCTAACCCACATGCACAAATATGATCCACATATATATGAAGAGCCTTCAGGGTATTAAAGGCTTTATGATTTTTTTTTTTCTAAAAAAATCTTGTTTGTGTAGCAAATGAGAATGCCTGAAATGCCAGTTTTATCACACAGCACAATGCCACAGATGTCGCAAGTTTTGAGGGAGCATGCAATTGGCCCGTGAATTGAATGTTCATTTCTCTACCATAAGCCGTCTCCAAAGGCGTTTCAGAGAATTTGGCAGTACATCCAACCGGCCTCACAACCGCAGACCACGTGTAACCACACCAGCCCAGGACCTCCACATCCAGCATCTTCACCTCCAAGATCGTCTGAGACCAGCCACCCGGACAGCTGCTGCAACAATCGGTTTGCATAACCAAAGAATTTCTGCACAAACTGTCAGAAACCGTCTCAGGGAAGCTATGTTATGGACAACGAACACAGGTGCATTTTATACGCTAATATCGTTATCTTTATAGTTATCTTTATAGTTATCGCTCTTGGTGTGAACGGGGCTTAAGGCACACCTGTGCAATAATCATGTTGTCTAATCAGCATCTTGATATGCCACACCCGTGAGGTGTATGGATTTTCTCGGCAAAGGAGAAGTGCTCACTAACACAGATTTAGACAGATTTGTGAACAATATTTGAGAGAAATAGGCCTTTTGTGCACATAGAAAAAGTCTTAGATCTTTGAGTTCAGCTCATGAAAAATGGGGGCAAAAACAAAAGTGTTGCGTTTATAATTTTGTTCAGTGTATATCATATATATGTTAGACAAATAATTTTGCTGAAGGTCATCAAGGTAATTTTGTTATTTTGGTAAACTCTTTGTTTAATGTATGTCTGTGTCTTCTCTACAGGTGAAGCTACTACAAAATAATTATAATACTGCCATTTATATGTGTTAGTTCAAAATAACACATTATATGACCAAAAGCATGTGAACACCTGACCACTCATGTTCCAGTTGAACGCTTACTGTTTAAATGAATTCAGAACCACAAGTGTTAATAGGGAGTTGATCCTCCCTGTGCTGTCATTACATCTTTCACTCTTTTAAGGTTTTCTAATAGATGTTATCGGACCGGCATCGCTGAGGTTTCACTCCTGTGACCTTCTTCAAAAGGAAATAATAATTATCAATACATTTTTTATATTCTTTATGCAGCCTTTATTAAGTTGTAACGTTGATATAGTTTCTATTATATTCATTTGTTAAACTGGGGTGTCAATAATGGGGAAATGTATATTGTATGTTACAGATGACAAACAAATGTTTACATGCAGTCTGTGCCTCTCATTTATTTAAGAATGTTTTTACATGCATAATAATGCTTTTGGCCTTTATAAAGAAATACCTCCATCAGTTCTGTGTCCAGAAATCAGGCCCTTTTTAAATCTGATACTTCTCATTGCAGAGTAGACTCAGTGTGATAAATTTTGTTATTTTAATGTCTTGTGATTATTGTTAACAAACTGACCTAAATAGACCTATTGAAAGTTATTTCTCTTAAACTGTCATTTACTTATGAAGACCCTCCCCTTCCGATGAGCTATAAAATGAGCGCTGAAACAGACACATTATTTCATTCAGCTCCTGATCAAAGATGGATCTGCAGATCGTTTTTCTTCTGTTCGTACTTTTCACTGCAGGTACAAAGACAAATAGCTTGAATATTTATTGCATAAAAATAGAGATAATCAATGTCTCTCTTTCACTGTCTCTCTCTGTTTTATTACTAAAGGACACTCTCTCGACTGTTATGAGTGCAGAGGTTTGGACGATTCTTGTTCAGATCAAGAGGCAATGTCCCAGTGGATCTTCCAAGTGCATGAATTACACAGTAATAGTTGATAAGTTGATAAGTCCATGATGTATTGAAATGTACTGTTATAACTGACTGATGGAGATGCTGCTACTGGAGCTGCAACAGTGGAAATGCAACTTCTCACAGAACTGCTACTTGTTTTCAGGATTTGTTTTTTTCTTGGTTTTTTCTCTCAGATTGTTATGCCATCAATACAATCTGTATTAAAAAAATGTTTGAAATGAAAAAAAAAAGCACTTTCTTTTTTTATTTGTAGCTGTGAGGTTTTGTTTATTTGTTTTTAACTCTCACTGCTTCTTTCTAACATATTTATAAATAAATTGTCCATCAAAATAATGTGCAGTTGAATTGGTCTTTCCTGCATCATTCATGTTTAGAATTTTGGGACAATTGGCCAAAGATTCAGCGAACATGTACAATCAGTTGGGAAAAACTGTAAATGTATACATATATAAACATATATATTTATTTCTTTGAGTGACTTCTGGAAAACTTTTTCAAACACATTGTGCGAGAGAATTTTCTATGTCAAATGTTTCATTTGGTAATCTGCCTATCCATAAATAATGTACATGCTTTTGGTTGTTCAACCAGTAAGGTTAACCAATCAAAAGTTTGAAATGCTTAGAGACAATGACTATAACCCACAACTGCTAATATTTACATTTAAGACATTAAGCATTCAGTGAGACAATTGTCCTTGTTTACATGTTTATTTTCTTACTCAGTGAGACCCACACAAGAGACGTCTCATATATAGTATGTAAACAACTCAACCAGCATTCTTTCGGCTAACTGAAGTACACGTGTGATAACAAGAACACATCCTTACTGCAAATTTAAGCGCATCCAACCTGAGCAAGTGTTTCACTGCAGGAGATGAGGAAATATATCATACATTCTAATTCTTTCTTGACCCAAGAAATTACAAAAACATGTTCTCATTTCATGCAGGCGTGAAGTGGAACAGCTGTAGAAAATGCAAACTATAAGAATGTACGAGTTTCAACATCACAATTCACATAATAAATATAATACTCTGAGCTGAATGTGGATGCCCGTATTTCGACGTCACCACCGGAAAATAACCTGATTTTTTATTATAAATTTATTTTTATTATGCAGATTCTTAACATATACATGTAAATATATACATATACATGTTAACCTATATACATGGGATATGTGAAAGACAGCACAACCCGCTATTTTTTTTTTAAACATCTACAGTAATAAATGAATAAAGTTATAATAAGCAGAACATCACCCTAATCCCTATACCCAACCCAAATTGTCACACATAAACTAGGGGGAGAGAGAAAAAAATTCAAAATAAAATAAAAAAAGGGGAGGGGGGGATCTACAATGAAGGTATGGTCTCAACAAAGGAAAGCATAGGATTCCACAATGTATAAAATGAATTACCAGAATCTCCAATGGAGTGTTTAATTTTTTCCAAATGTAGAAAAGACATTAAGTCATTAATATCGGCATGACACTTAACAGTGGATACTCCAAAAATTGCAATTATTGGACAGGGTTTCAGAGTAAACTGCATATACTGTTCTACTTGTCTGTGTCAGCCGCACCACACGGATACGTTTTCTAAGTTTATTTACGCTTTGATTTGAACGAAAACAGCGTATCCGTGTGGTGTAGCTGACACAGAACAGCATACGCAGTTTCAAAGTTTTTACGGGTTTGGAACGACATGGGGATAAGTGATTAATGACAAAATTTTCATTTTGGGGTGGAGTAACCCTTTAAGTAAATGCTGCAATTAATTAACTATAAGATTAATAAATGCTTTTGACGTGTTTTTCATTGTAAGTTCATGTTAACAGATGTAGATAACTAATGTTAATAAACTGAACCTTACTGTAAAGTGTTACCGAAGAAATACATAAAGATACAATACATAAGCTTCCTATATTTAAAATAAATCACCGTCCTGAATGAGGCCGATAAGTGTGGTGTCGTCTGCAAACTTCAGGAGCTTGACAGAGGGGTCTTTAGATGTGCAGTCGTTGGTGTACAGGGAGTCATCAACGTATGCCTCAGACAATCTTCTTTCTGCATGTGAAAGTTCATTTACTCACCCTCATGTGATTCCAAAGCTGTATGGCTTTCTTCTGGTAGTTTAATGTTCTTCTACTAGTAGTATCTGTTCAAAAGGAAATAATTATCATGACTGTTTAGATTTTGTTCTGCTTAAAATATATTGATATAGTTGCTACTGTATTCATTTGTTAAACTGGGGTGTATTGGGGTATGTATATTGCATGGTCATATATTACAGATGGTCTGTGGCTCTCATTTATTTAAAAATGTATACTTTTGGCCATTAAGAAATACCTCCATCAGTTCTGTGTCCAGAAATCAGAATCTTTTAAAATCTAATTCTTAACAT